ATGTAAAACTAACGACGTATAGAAGATCCTGAGTACTTGGGGATTCTTTTAGTCAACAGTTGCTTTTTGAATAAAGGCTAGAGTTTTAAAGGCCTTTAGCACAATATGTTTGCGATGCTCTTTGAAGTTGAGCGACGAGTCGAAAATAACTCCCAGATCTCGCTATGTACATACTGTGGATAATACCTAACCATTAACTCTACAGGAAAAGATACATTATATATTCCTCCTCGCCGCGCCTCATCGCATCACATTTATCTACAATGAGCACAAGCTTGTTTTCACAACGTCAAAGAGCTTAAACTGTCAAAATTCAATTGCAACACAATCTAGCGTCTCGTTCGGAATTCACTGTGTCGAATACAGTCAAATTACCTACGAGCAATAGAACTGTGTTGTTCGATTCAAGGTAGAGACGTTAAAATCTACATTTATATTTCTATACTTTCTTTTTTTATTTGACATTTCTCATGACATTTTTTCGAGAATATTATCAATGCATTGGCGAAAATTTTCCGATGAAAATGAGTCCAAACACAACCCTATTCGGACTATTCTTAACTATACCGTATTTCCGTCAATTTTGAAAAATATTTAACTGTAGACGAATGTGTAATTGAAAGTAGTCCGAATATGGTCGTGTTTGGACTCATTTTCATCTGTAAGATCTCACAAATACAATAGTAAAAATTTCATACAAAAATAAGCAAAAATTTAAAAAACGTAATTGCATCAAAATGGTAAGCGATACGGTCTCCCCAACTGACAGAGGATATAGAAAAAGAACAAAGTGGAGAGCCAAGTACGAACAACGACTCCAACCTTCTCCTTCCTCCTCGCCGCCGTTAAAAAAAACAAAAAAGACCGCGCTGGAACCGGAGAAATAAAATCGCAAAACGCGCGTATGAATACACGCGAACGAAAGATGAAACGAGAGCTGACAAGACGGAAGATCACGAGTGGGGAATAACAATAAAAAGAAACAAAAAAAAAAAAAGGAAAAAAAAGAAAAAAAAAATGGAGACTACGAGTGGAAGAGAAAGAGGAAGAGGAAGATCTGAAGAGACGGGGAAAACAAAGGCTAAGCTCTCGGAATAAAGGGTGGCTACGGGTGAAAGAGAACGGGTTTGAAAAACGAGCAACAGATCCATTCGTGCGATCGCTGACGTGGAAGGGGTCGCGTGAAATTGTATTTGGGCCACGAGGTAACGGAGCACATATACGGTTTTCGATTTCCCACGAGAGGTCAGCAAATTCATAACCCAATCTATTTCGGTGGGGAAAGCAGAGAACGGGTTGAACCGGCTGAATTCTGGCTACGCGACGATCGAGTGGTCCTTATTATTTTTCGAATCGATAATCGTGCAAAAGAAAAGCGCGAGAAGAAATTGGCTGAAAAATCACCGGTCGTTTAGCGAGAAACCGTACAAAGAGTGGCGGAAAGAATTTCGTTGGCTGATCGCGAGGAGAGGAGGAGGAGGGGTGAGGACAGTGCTTCTCCCACCGTGCAGTCTCAATTTACATTTTTACGTAAATCCGACTCCCTTGCGGCTATTAACCACTTTCCTGCCTAGTTCTTTTTCGCTGGTCGGTCCGGAAAGCGCAACATTTTTATTTCATTTCAATCGCGAAATATTTAGAACCTGCTCGGAGAAAACGCACGAACGATTCGATTTTATATTTTCACTTTTCATCTGATTTTGTATTCGACGCGATATTGGAACGGATCAAAGTGATATTTTTCTGCACGAATTTCGATCGGATTCGATTTTCCTCGAGGAGTTTCTGAACCTGTTAACTATATAATTTAAACGAAATAATGTTTCAAATTGAAAGTAAAAATATTTTTATTACGTCGGGTTTATTGCTTCGGGTGGCTTGAAACAAATATTTTTCAATCCTATTTTCAAACAGATCTTGGGAAAGCAACAAGATTAAGTATGTTCTACGGTTCCAAGTTTCTTTAACACTTTGACTGCCACGTCGCTCATATATGGGTGACAGGATTGACCACTATGATACTAGAAAAATTAATTTTCAATTTAAGACGTCGAGGGAAATAAATTTGAATGAAATTTGTGAATTTTAACAAGTTTACGAAAATAAGTACTGAAACAAGTTTTAGGTTATGTAGCTTGCAATGGTGTAAAGCCAAAAGTTTTCGTCTGGCAGCGAACGTGGTAATACGGAGTAAACAAGACGGATGAATAGTAGAACTGACAACGAGACTCGCCGCGATCAGTTTCGTTTGCCATCGGTCTTGCTGTGCCATTTTGATCGAAGAAATTCGCCGCGATGGGTAGGATAAGCTTCGGGATAATAGAACGACGACAGTCGGTGGTGGTCGACGGTCAATTCCGATGTAAAACTCAAGGTAAACCGAGAATGGTCCCATATCGGGAATGCATAGGCAACGGGGCGTCGTCGGTGATCCGTGTACGGAGAGCTTACAAACGCGGCGACCTGTGAACCTGGCTGAAATCCAGAATTCGCGTCACGACGGAAAGAAACGAACGACCACGGCTTCTCTGCCGTCGCGAACGGACAGAGAAGGAGGGTAGATAATCATCGTAACCGTTGTCGAAATCGTTTCCCTTTGTCCTATCTCGGCCGACGAATCACGAGGAACGACGCTCGTGAACCCAACTGAGGTTGAGAGTTGTCGTTTCTCGGTAATGAAACGTATCTTCCTTTTTCTTTTTTTCTCAACCGACTCGAGTCGGTTGGAAACGTGATACGTCCACGGCTCCATCCTGACGAACGTTGACGAGAACTTATTTGTCGTCACGCATTTATAGGTCACTGAAAATCTCAGTCGAAGACTTTATTTAAGCGTAAATCTATGGTACTTTAGTGTTTGAACGTTGAAAAGAATTTATTTATTTGTTCGTTCAATCAAATCCATTATTTTAAAATTAATCTTCGTTACTTCCGGGGCGTACATCATGTGGAAAATGAATTTATGTAAGTACTTCCAATCGAACGATTTATTTGCCACTTCATGAAATAAAGTATTACTTGTGTATTCTATATCGAATGTACAATATAGAATACTTGTGGAACGATGCATTTTCGGATATTAATAAAATTTTTATTCTAAATATTTTGAATAATAATTTATATCGGACCCTATAATGTAGCATTTTTGTAAACCAAAGATATCTGCTGGTTTCTAAAGTTTCAACAAAGTCGATTATTGAAAAGTTTTGCAGCCTGATGGAATACAAGCCCGATAAGGGTCTCGAACGACCCGAAGAGTCAATTTTTGCGAACGTCATTCCAGATATAACGCCGAAGAGTGTTGTTCAAATGGCAGCGAAAGCGCGAGTGGAACGACTCGACGTTCGAGCGAACAACCAACGAATTCGAGGCCTCCGCGATCATTCGTGACCCAAATATTTTTTCTTGCGACAGACCGCGATGCAGAATTGCGGCGAACTCGTAGAAACGACCGACAGAGTCTTCCACTTATCGCGTTTCCTGCAACGGGATCCATTTTCGGGACGTTGGAAGAACGACGGGCACGGTAACAATTTCACCTCTTTGAGGGAAACTTCGAACTTTCCTGGTCGAAGAAAAAAACTATAACATCTTTTATATTTGCAATTACGATTAACTATGTATTTTGGATTCATAAAGACTCGAAGAATAATATTCTATACAAAAAAAAATTAACTCCTAAACTATCGGAAGCCTACGTATTGGGGTTCGAAAACCACATGAGGACTAATTTTTAATTACAAACACCGATAAAACATATTTTTATTTGTTCCTTCAGTCGTACTAAATGTATTATAAATTATCATTTTTGCAATAAGGAAATATGATCAAACTATAAGATACAAATGAAAATATCTGAGACTGCGAATCTACTGGAACGAAATATAAATGAAGTATCGAAAGTTTGCTTTCGAAATGGCAAGAAATTTGTAATTCAAGATCACTTATTCTCGACTAGTCCGACGTAACCGACTCTTCGAACGACGGAAGTATGATCGTCGCGAGTGGAAACGCTCGCGGTATGTACCACGAAAATTGATCCACGCGCTCCACTTCTCACGCTCGCAACACTATTCTATCCGAAAGCAGTCGAGGCACCGGTGCTCTCTCTGTGTGCCCCGTAAGAAAGAAAACCTCCTCGACCTTGCGTAGCAGACGTCAAAGACACTCACACGATCGGGCAGAGCCGGTGTGTGCGGAAAGGAGTAGCGGGAATGCTGGTAAATTAAATGAGGGTTGAAGAAGCCAGCACTCGAGCAGACAAAACAAACACCCGGAGGCTGCCCCCGTCGCCTTTCTTCGCGTTAATCACCATCGGCAACTGAGAAGAAGGAGGGGGATTATTCAGTAGCCGAAAACAATGGCCCAAATGTCACGCCACTCGAGCGCGTCCCAAAGGGTTCATCGTCTACTAGTGCCTCGCTTCTCGCGCCTGATCCGGCGTTAGGGATACTTGCTACGAAATCACCAGCTCTGTTTACGTTTTCTTCCACTCGATAGATATACAATCGAAAAACAATTTTTGTTCGACCAGTCTGTTCCCACGTTTCTATGAGAAAAAACCTCTCGTTTTGATCGCGAGAATAGAAGCAAAGTATATGGTGGCACCGATACGATCGAGGGACGTCGGTCGTTCGCGCGTCGCGAGATGATACCAAGGCTGACGGGGAGAGTCTGCCAGGCGAACTGGAGCGGTCCAATCTCGAGAGCCGCGACGACCTGCGTGAGAATCCTCGGCGCTGCTCAGACTAGCGCAATCGGGGACGATTCTGTGCCTCGAGTGCCGACGGTCGCGAGGCCAGGCGAAGATGGAGACGCAGAACGAACAAAGGCACCGTGAACCAACGCAAACAGGACTCATGGGGGACAGAGGTGGGGAGGGTCTGGTGGCGCACCACGCGACCGCAACGATCATTGAGAGCGTATCTCCGAGTAGTCGGTGGATCGCGGACGAAAAATTGGGCGAACCCGATTACGTTTAGCGACGAGATCTCTCGTACCGATTAATCCTGCTGAATCCTGGATCGCTGTCGTTCTTCCGGCGGCGTTATCTGTCCCGCGGCAGGAGGGTGGTTCCGTCCATCGCGTTTCTGGATCGTATCGTCCCGAGGATCGATCGCGGTTCCGGGTGGCACACGCGCTGACCGGTTGCGGTACGCGTCCAGAAAACGCATTTCACCCGCCGCGTACACCCTCGAACGTTGTCACTGGCCCCGCGGATCGTACGTTCTGGTTAAAGGCTGACGGATTATCGCGCACCATTCGCAGGCCCCGACAGTGTACCTGCTGCCCACCCCAATCGCGGCTGCCCTTCCACGCACTCTGCCTTACTTGGCTCTCTTGTCCTCGGCTCTTCGCGTCGTGTACGTGTGTGCATGCGTGTGTAGTGTGGCGTGCAGGTGTGTGTAGGAGCGTGTACTCGCGCAGACGGATACCGAAACCCAGCCGTGCGGCAGGCTGACCGAGTGGCGACTGAGACTCACCCTCCGTGGCGGCGCTGACTACCCCCGAACCAGTCCCCCGACTCCTGCCCCTTCTTCCTAGTTTCTCTCTCCGCAATAACCCTTCTTCTCTACACTCCCTGTTACTTCCTCCTCCTGCCCCCTCTGTTCCTACGACACTCTCTTTTGCGTGACTTCGTTTCTGGATTTCTTCGGATCTCGCCTCGATTCTCCTCGAGACCGGACCTAACCCGAGCAACTTTCCGTGGAAACTTTTTTCGCGGTTCGCGGTAACCCCATGGACGGGATTGATCGAAGTTTGTCTTTCGATGGAGCGGCGTAATTGGCGACCCGTCTTGTAGACATTGGACTGGGTAATGGGTAGCCACCGGAGTCGTTCCGACGGCTGTAAAGAGGACTGACCGAAGCCACTCCTGGGGAAGAGGATGATGCGCTAGTAGGTACCGTTCCGATCGGAGGTGGCGGAATTGGGTAATTCCTCAGGACGAGAATCGTACTGGAGTCTGTCTTTCTAATGGCGCGCGATTATTAACCATGGAACGGAACATTGTTTTTCCGGGAAATAATCTGCCGCCGTCAAAAACTTTTCAATAAACATCTTAATACATAAATTCTCATACTGTCAATCCACAGACCCTCGGATGATCCTGAACGAGTCAGAGAAAATACAGAAAGCCATAACTTTAAAGTCAGAAATCGTTGAATATATTTTTCGACACAGAGTTACGTATGCCTACCCCTTTACGTCCAGGCCCTTACGTGCTGCAGAAGCGTCGAAAAAGTGTACAGAATTTGTCCCTGGGAATCTTGACTCCCGACATTCAAGTACGCTAACGTCTTCACCCCCTATTGTCTCTACGACCTCGCTGTATTTCTACCAGTGTCTTTGCATTTTTAGGACATTCTTCAACCCCTTAACGCATGGCGTGTCATATACGGCACGCACCAATCTCTTTTACTGTATTTTTCTTATCGTCGAAGGACCTTGTTCAAAATTAATAATGATAAATTTTCCATTTTGCTCGAGAATTCTCAAATAATTAACGAATCAAAAATTTGTAAACAAATTCTGAAGGTTGTATTATTAAAAACAACAGAAAGGATTTTTTGTACTCAAGGTCATTAAGAGATCATGTTATATGCCATTGTTTTCTTTTGACAAAAATATGAATAGATCGATGAGGATTTTCCTATTAAAATGTGTCCAATTTTGAAAATTTTCAACTGTACGTATGCGTGTAACTAAAAGTAACCCAAGCATGGTCGTGTTTAGACTCATTTTAATCGGGGAGACCTCCCCTATTCATTGATAGAACTTCTGTAAATGTACAGGGTGTCTGGTAAGGTATTCAACAAACCTCTGACGGGTTCAACAGGGCCTGACAACTTTCGCATCTCAACTTGAATATCTAGAACAAAGTTTTGCGTAATCATAACATTTAACCCCTCGAAATAAACATTGTTCTACTGTGACACTCTTTCGTATCATTGGAAATATTTGAGTTGAATGTTTCTTGGTGTGAAAAGAGTTTATTAAACATCTGAAACATAATCTTTAAGCGAGAGAATTACTGTACAATGCGCCAACGCGCACTGACGCGACGCGTTGCAAGACGCTGGGTGCTAAGAAAGGCATTTCACGCGACAGAAAGAGAGGCACGTAGGCGCGCGCGACAGCGTGTACGCCGAGGTGTGGAAAGGGACGAAACGCCAGGAGCGTCTCGTTATCCACGAATTTGCGCGAAAGGTGCTTACCGTTTTAACGAACGACACTTTAATTACTTCACTAACGGTATATGAAGACACGAGTGCAATTGTGCAGGTTTGAAAGCTGTCCTCGCGAAGAGGAGGAGGATCTTAACCCTGTCGGTGCCTGGACTCGAATGAACAGCGCGCACCGCGTGCGAAAACCTTACGGTCGTATGTATTGAACACGTGCGCCAAACGCCCATAGGCGTTCACCGTATGCGACCCCGGTATATTAAATTTATTTCAATTTTCCTCAGACTCTCGACAAGTTCATTCCTTACTATCGTAGTAGTTTCTACTATTTTATAAGTGGCTGAATTTGAGTCAACAACGACAAATTTTTAAAAATAGAAATGTTAAGTCGTTAAATTAGTCGATATATTTCGTTGCTACTTAATATATTAAATTTGTAAAATTTGGACTTAACATAGCCTCCGCAGTATTCATACGTATGTATACGTACACAGATGTCGCTAGGAGTAGTACTGCTTTAACCTCAAAACTATACATCTGAACTCCACACTGTACAACTGCGAACAATGATTCCTTTTCTCTATCTCTGTTCTAGTTGCCGCCTCGATCGAACCGCTAGATGGCGTTACGAGAAAACGGAAACCATTAACCTGTACTAAAAAGAAAAAAAACTGTACCCAACATGGAAACGATATCATCCGTTTAAAGATGTAGACGATTCGATCCCCATAAGGGATGCGAGTTATGTTTTGGACAAGTTTATACAGGGTGATAAATTCGAACGTTTCTGAAGATAGAAGTGATACGCGGAAGATGACGAAAGAAGGTCAGAGGAAGAACAATGTGAAAGAAGGGGATAAAAAGTCGCACGGGGGTTGGTTCGATCGAACTTGTTAGAGGGAGGGCGCCACCTCGTCGGCCACCCCATTTTCATCGGCTCCTGCGGTCCGCACACTTAACACTTCTATCATTACCATAGTGGTTTATCATCCTACATAATGAATTGTGCACGGAGACCGGCGATGTTAGAGATAATCTATGAAATAGAAACCGAATTTATCTAGATCAAATCACTTTTTTTATTCGAAACTCTATATACGAAAATAAGAAATATAAATGAACAAATTGAGAGGAGGAAAAATATGAAATTGAATAAATATGCAGAATACATAAAAAAAATAAGAAAAATGAAGGACGAATGACTGCACGATAAAAGTAAACGACTATATTAGCTACCTAATGTTGTGTGAATAGAGGTCTTCTGCAAGATGTGCCAAAAACTAAGTTATTTTTTTATCGTATCGCAAAAAACGAAAAATCAACCAAACGTTTAAGAAAAAAATTGAAAGTTTGTAATAATTCAAATTTCTTGCAAAATAACACTAAAACATTTTTATGAAAATAAATTTCAAAAATTGTATACAAATAAATTTCAAACATTGTATACAAATAAATTTCAAACATTTTTTTTTATAAATCACCTAAAATCAACGACTGCAAGTAGAAATACCCGATAATAGCGATACGAACGGGAGTGCCTGAACCCCGGAGGACTTATGGGTCCTGGTTTGGACAGCGGCACTGTAAAACGACAAATTGACACACGCATAATCGAAGCAGCCGAGGAAAAAGTAGCCTGTTGGTGTCAACGCGTTTTAAGAATGTTTCAGGAGCAGATAAATAGCCCCTCGCACATTTGACTCCCGAGAGATTTATGGCAGGGTCAAAGGCTGACAAGTAAATCTATAAATTTCCTTTTCAAATTTGATTTATCTCGATGAAACAAATTTCAGTCCAGGTATCGTTATTTTTATTTATTTTCAATAGACACGTAACACACGAAACAGTCATCGTTTTATGATTTGTAAAAAATATCGTAATCTTCGACACGACCGACATCGATAGATGATCACTTTTTTTCGAACCTCGTTTATAAGAATGTTTCGAGAGCCGACCAGATTCCCGTTGTAATCGATACAAGACGATAAATCAACCGCGCATATTTTCGCTTCCTTTTACAGTCTCGTACGTAAAAATCCATTTGGCCGCGGGCCAATCGGGGCTTCGTTCGCGTATATCCTCGCTCGAAGTGCTCGGAAATTGCGCCTAATTAACTCCGCGAAGAAAAGAAAATCGTTTCTTTTTCTTTCGCGCGATTCACTGGATCCCGCTGCACGCATACACTTGGTAGAACAAACACGTATAACGAATCTCATTACACGACCGGAAGATAAAACGGTAAGGCCATAAATTATCATATTTCCACGCCTGTGAAAATTTTTTGTAAAACAATCCATGAAAAAAAAAAAAAAATAATTTTTCGCCCGAGATTATGGGCTCAAAACGATACAAGAAAAATTAATTCTACACGAGTTCTTTTACGCACCTTTTGAATCCCGAAACGCACCCCTCAATTCTCCTCGCTAATAGTGATGGTGCATATTTTATAATAATAAAATTACGCACGGTTAGTGATCGGCGGTTGAAGCGCCAGTCCCAGCACCTAACCTCAATTAGGGCGCGCTAAATTTGCAAAAAACAACGTAGGTCGCAACGCGGTAATTCGTGCGATTAAATCGACCCACGCGGCGAAAAATCGCAAACGCGGTTTATCTTCAAGAACGATGGGGGTGGGGAGGGAATAAAGAAATGGCGGACACGGAAGTACGTCATTAACGGGAGTACGTCGACGGCGGCGTCGAAGAAAGCATTGATATTCGCGGCACGTTCATACATCGTATTATTTAAGTTTTTCCGTGCCTGCGACCCTTCAAACGCGAGTCGAGTCTCCCTTCGTCATTTGGTATGCCATTAATTAATTTGGGCCTCGAGAGCGAGCCAGACGCGCCTCGCAATTAGTGTCGGAGAGTCAAAATGGCACGTGTGCGCCAGCCGCTGGGCGTAAATATTCCTCCCTGAACTCTGCAACGGGGCCGACCGGGTGCCTCTACTTTAAAGGGCAACGTGATTTTCGGGCAATTTCCTCGGGATTATTGGCCTCCGCCAAAAGTTGCGTCGCTAAACGAATTTACGAAACGAGAAACGAGCTAATTTGAACGTTGGAGAATGGTATTCGAAAACGGAATGCATACGCGAGATAAATGTCTCTTCTACGGACTGAAGTGCATGTATTGTTAAGACATTTTAAAATTAGACTGGCTCATTTAATCCTGTATCGACGCGGAAAAGTATGCGAAGCAGTAAGTACAAGCCGAAAAACAGTCATGAATCATTCTTTAGAATACAAGAAACTTGAAGGTGTTCGATCGACAGAAACAGGCCGCTCGAAAATTTTCAACACCAGAAGCAGAGGCATAGGAGTCGCAAACGCAATGCGGAAGAACACAACGTACGCCTTCGCGTTCACGCACGTAAGCAGCACGCAGGCCGGTGTTCCCCGTATCGTGACCCGCGTTACGCTTGGCCTTGATCCACTTTTCCCTTCCTTTCGAAGCGCATAAGCGTGAACGATACTAGATCTCACGCGACGCACCGCGCGAGTAACGCGACCCCTCGAGGATCGAATCACGAATCACGATTTCACGACGATTCGTCGAACCCCCTCCCTCATCCTCTCACGACGCTACAGTTTGGTGGTGTCGAAAAAGCTCAGTGAAACTGGACCAGGTTAGGTTAGGACCACACGACCGTTAAAACGACGTGCGTTTCTACGTTCTTCCTGCTTGCAATTGAAAACATAAAAATGGTCGTCGTTTCGACGCTCGTGTGACCCTGGTCTTATGTCGTTGAAATACGAAGTTATCATGGTTTCTTTCCGACTATTCAACGGAAACACTGTGCTACGAACGAGCTAAGTGCTAGGTCAAAGATGATCTTTACGATACATCTGATCCACACAAACAATTTCTGGCCCCCATAAAAATTGCCAATAATAGGGCTTAAGAGTATATTGCCATTATTATTGGACATAAACGGATTTAATTTTCACTTTCGCGTCCTTGCTTTTATACTAAGCAAGGTTTGCTTTACCTTCTCCTTTTACTGTAATTCAGTAAAATATACTACACGTGCATCGATAATATAATACACGCTCGAAAGTTTTATTGTAACAAAAGACAACCATCAACAAACAATCGCTTTATTTACAAGATTATAAATAAACTAAACTCTTAGGCGTAAACACTTAATCGGTCGATTTCTATTTCGATTCGTCTTTTTCTAAAAGGGCGCTCGTAATTCCAGCTTTCTTCAATTCCTCTACGAGCTCTCCGTTTTTGTGCATTTCGAACAGTATGTCGCATCCGCCCACAAATTCACCGTTTATATACACCTGGGGTATCGTGGGCCAGTTAGAATAATCCTTGATACCTAGATAAAAAAGGAAATTTAAGCTTCGTGAAATTTTAGTCGTCTTAAAATTTCAATTAACGTTGTCCATCGAGCATTGGAACATTTAAAAGTCAATGGAAATAAAAATTACAAACTACATAACGTACAACGTGTAAAAATTGAGATATTTGCAGCATAAAATAAAATACTTTTACAAGTAAATTTGTAGACAGTCTGTCTAACAGAGATTAAAGATCATACCTTCACCACATGCGAAGAGAAAAAAAGAAATTCATAACCTAGTATTATATTTCATCAAAGTTTTTCCTTATTTGTACGCTTGCCACTGTAAGTTCAAGGCATTGGAAAATATAATTGCCTGATTTTTTACTAATATTAAAAAATTATTTATACTACATGCATTGTTATACTTAGCCTATGAATTTCTATGTTTATTTTTTTTTTAATGAAAGCTAACCTTGCCTGAGTACTTCATCCTGTAAGACGTCATGGGCATCATATTTAACATCATGCATCTTTAATATCTGCACAACTCCGTTGCTGAAACCACATTTAGGCGCATCAGGGACACCCTTCATAAACACAACTACTTTATTCTTCTGCAACAAGAGCAATTAACAGTCATTATATAATTGTTAAATGGTTAAGACACCTAATACTAACTTTATACTATGGCCCACAAAAGTGTTTGTGCAAGAGAATGAAATTTGTTCGACTTAATTTAAGTAGTATATAATAATAATCTTAAGTTGAGCATATTTGAATATATTTATATTTTGAACCCATCCTGTCCCTAATTGAACCGATGCAAAGAACGAAAAAATAATCATTTTTCGAAGAACACTTTATTCATGTAATATTGAATGAATGAACTATAACGTATTTACTTACCTTAACGAGGTTAGCAATGTCATCAAACTTCGTGGAGAGATTCCTGATTCCATTGTAAAATCTAAACGAAATCATTTCTTTTCCACTGTCTCTAGGAACTGACAATCAAAATTTGAACTTCTTTTTGCAAGAAAAAAACACGACACGATAGGTTACCCGGTCAACGAATCGATCGAGGATAGCAGTCTGTTATCCGCGTCGCCATCTTGGTTTTTTGATACACTGACTGACAAATGCGTTGCTGTCGTCATCTGGTAACGATATTAAGAACTAAAATTATTCTAAAACATTATGCAAAACTGCTGCTCTTGTTTATACACACTCTCAGTTAGTCTTTTAACTATTTTAACCTTCAACGACAGTAACTTGATGTACATTAAATTGATTCCATATTACTAGAATGTACAACACATTTTATCTAAATCAAATAACACATATACCAGATAGAAAGACTTTACTAAGGTTCGGTACGAAGTTGACCTACCTTTGCTGTTATTGTCTTGTACTACATAGTAAATACATAATATTATAAAATGCATACAAACAGTAACTAATATCAATTCCTTTTGTGAACGAACTCAATGTAGAACATAAAATAACTCTTTGTTCTAAGATGCGATAAATTTATTCAAATTTGTACAAATTATACAGGGAAAATAAACCATACGAGAAAAAGCGTTTTGTATAGGTATATGTACCAGTATTTTCGTAAACTGATATGACGTAAAACCAATATTTCCACGCCACCATTTAAATAAAAGTTATTTTGATGCAACAGAAAAGAATATCGGTATTTTGTGTTTTGACGTGAATACATGGTTTTAAATAATTTGTAACCTTTTCCTAAATTTATCAAATTTGTTCGAATTATTAGTACATATCGATTCCATTAAATGAACAATCTAATTTTTTGTTGGATATTCTGCATACCCACAAATTTCCAATGCACGGTTTAATTTACAGGTCTGGCCACTAGATGGCTGCAGGAATGGCGAATCTGTGCCATTTTGGAATAAGTAATACAAACAAGAAAAAAAGAATTGCACGACGACTAGTGAATTCATCGATAAGACATATAGAACAGAACCTGTTTTAGACGTCAAAATTATTGAATATTATTATACTGTATACAAATATGTATACACAAACGGTAATCGATAACTTTCGGTAGAAAGCAACCGATCGTGATTCATAGGCCCCTGATGATTGTAGTCACTCAAGGAACTGTCACTGCAATTTTTCTTATCCTCTTAACGCTGCTTAATTTAAATTCTTGTTAAAACATCACACACGCACTCATTTGTATAACTACTACACAATATAATTACGTAATTATTGTGAACGATAACAAATTACTCTTATACAGGCTACACCAAATTTATCCTATAACCAGGGCAGTACCTAAGTATTTTGGCACCCTATCATATTTATTTGATCACTTACTATACATATATTGAATCGAACAAAAATAGCACGAGTTATAGGGAAATCACAAACGTACAGATTCTTTTCAACTACAATTATTAAACTTTAATATCTCTGAAGCTGAGCCTACTATTTCCGAAGCATCGTTTCGTAGCGTCAATATTATGAAACAACTTCGTTGCATTTATTAACGAGGAGGAAATACTATTAACCAATGGAAATGTCCTTCCAAGAAAATTAGTACTTCGAGAGGTTCGGAGAAGGAAGAACGGTTGAATCGCGTTTCACCGCAGCCATTTCAAAATTCGATCTACGTAGTTGGCCTACTTTCGTGATCTACACGTAAACGTAGAAGCCTTAGCTACGATAATTCTCAAATAAACGTTTAAATACGTTAAAAAATGATTGTAATTGACCCCTGCAACTGAAAATAATTTTTCCAGAACGATTTGAAATTCTTTTTTTTTGTTAACTTTAGGCACCTGATTAGATTTTCGGTAATGAATTTTTTTCTCGAAAGTGCGCAGGATTTTGGGGTTATGTGTAATGACCAAAAATGATTGTAATTGACCCCCGCAACCGAAAATAATTTTTTTAAAACGATTTGAAAATTTTTCTTTTCGCCGAAAAATTTCAGCACCTACCCCATTTTTTTGCTCGAAAGTGGATAGGATTTCGAAGGTGTGTGTATTCACCAAAAATGATTGTAATTGGCCCCCACAACTGAAAATAATTTTTCCAGAACGATTTGAAATTTTTTAATTTAATTGTTAATAACTTTTCAACGAAGCCTCCATCAACAAATTGGTATTCTTGTTTTTCGTCTTATTTTGGCCTCTAGAATCCCTCATTAAAATTTTTCCCAAGGGCGGCCGAATACACTGTATATAGATAAATTAGAATATGGAAATATAAAAATACTAAATGTTTGAATAGTTGTGCGTATTAAATGTTTACGTGAAAATTTGTTTCACGAGTTTACAGGTTAAATTCTTTCGACAACGATTATCGTCGTAAAAAACGTTTGATGCATAGCCTTCCGTTCCTTTCTAGTAACACGATTACATGAATATCCATAAATACTAAAAACTTATCTTATCTATGTCGATACTGTAACCGCGCGGCCGAAAGTACACCGAAAAATTATTTGAGCTGGCCATTATCGAAGAAATTCGCGACGAATGTCTTGTCGCGAAACAAATTTCTACAACTCTTAATCTGATTATTTCTTCGTCTGTATTTGACACAAAGAAATAATAGAATAACTTCTTTGTTTCGAATAATTACTACCACGAACGAATCCAGGTTAGAATAAAAAAAAAGAACGAAATGTTTTTTCAATTTTTAATTTCGAACGGCGTTTTTAATCCCGTGTTAAGTGTATTTAATTCTAGGTTATTTTACTTACGATTTCCGTCTTCATTTATTAGCCATCCCTAAACAGGTTAGTCAAAATTCGTCAGTTGTTTCGATCACGCGACGTTAATATCCCGCTTCATTTCCGATCGTAGATTTTATTCGTGGATTATTGATATAAAGTTGTTACGAGCTTTTCTGGTCGGGATACGACTACGGTTTAAACCCGGATGACTGTATTTTCCCTATGACGTAACGGGGAATTGTTATTACGGTGAAAAAAAAACTAGTTAACCGACACAACACGTACGCGGCACGTGGACGTCTTTTCCGAACCTATGACATCACGTCGAAATCGTGGTCACAGCGCTCGATCGCCATGGAAACTCAGCCCCGTGAACCTACGTTAGAACGCCCACGAGACTTTAAAGTTCGTCCGTTATACGCATCGCGGCGCACACTTCACGGACGAAGTCCTTGCGATAGGTCGTGGACGAAAGCCACGAAAATAGCAACAGGTAAAATGTTGAAAAAATATTCGCATTAGAGCGGAAACGCGGGAATTCGCTTTCGCCCGTCGAACCTTGCGGCTAAAACTCAACGTATGAATAACGGCTGAATATTTGATTCGATATATTCATGGAGACTGAAAGGAGATGGAAAAGAGGAAACTACATTATGTATACTGACCTCGCCATCTAATCCATCAGTCAAACATTTTCACGTCTTAATTATTCGCTGCAAATGATATTACAAAATTACTTATTTTTATTACAATACAATCCATTGCTTTCATCTAAGAAAATAACTTTGTCCCACAAAATATCGTCTTCATTTATGTATTTTTCGTTGTGTGAACGGCCCGCTAGAATGTATTAGCAATAAACAAAAGATAGACGTTTACGTTAAGCTCGATAACTTGTTGCTTTTGGATTCTTTATTTACATTACGAATAGAATAGATACAGCTTGAGATAAAGCAGACCGTGCCTTAAATGCCGAGCATCAAAGTGGTTGCACAAAGGATCTACATATTTGTATAATGTAATCGATGGAGGGGCGAAAACTTTCGTGAATAGGACCTGTTGGAATGTCCTCTGGTGGCAAACGCTGGAATTAAAACTGCCTCTTCACGTAATCGTTTACAAAGCGTCAGAGATAATGTTACAAAAATGTACGTCATCAAAAGAACAACGTCGAATGGATATTTTTATTTATTCCGTCGTAATTGCTTGGTTTCAGAATACTGGATAGAATTCTCGCAGTAGCCTAACACAGAGACGACCTTCCAACGGACGTAATACGTATACTTTTCTCTCCTATTGCGCAAGAAACAACAGATATCCAGTCTTATTGGTTCAAGTTATAAGATTACACGATGAATTTCAAAGTAATTTGTTAACGCAGGGTGCCCCAAAGTATGTACGTTCTCACTCAATCGGTAAAGTAGAAATTATGAGAATCATTTAGATACACGCAATAATTGCGTATGATCTTGTAACGCGGCCTTGCGTTTAGGTTAGTTTTCTCCGCGATACGTTGAGCGTTCTACAACGAGGCAAAAAACTACCACACGGACATTGAGTTTAATAAACGGTAAGGTTAAGGGATCCACGAAGGTCAGTCGTAAAGTGAATGAAGGGACAAACCGGAAAGGAACGTATAACCGGGACTACAATGTTCGGGTCGTGCGATTGTAGCACTATTTTGCGCGGTTCGCTTTAACGCTGACTACACCGTGACGAGGGGTTTCACTTTGCCGCAGTGTTGGCCGCTACTGCCAGTTAATGCATTTTCACTCGTGGGGCAGTGACGCTAAATGATACGGTTTCCTGTTCGCAGGAAACTCGAAACTCCCGGAATACTCAGGTAATAACAAAATTCTAACGTGTATCGAGTGTCTGAAAATATTATTTAACGGAAAAATTCTCTCACTCTTGCTCCTACACTTCTGTACAACTGAAATAACACTCTTTAACACTAAATAGATAAATTTAAATAAATCCCTATTCGTACAAAAATTAGTGCGATAAAATCCGTAAATTTTCGGAAAAATTAAGAAATTCCTGTTTTCGAGATTTGCGAGAAAAACTCAGGGTGTCTTATAACCACCCTAAAACTTGGTCTATGGGCATAAGAATCTGCAATTAAAATTTCAAGGGGGTTTTCAACGTGGTAAAAAATTATATTTCGCAATTTCGGGGATCCCGTAGCGTTACGAAAATGATTTCTACCAAACAGAAGGTAAGGCATAGGCGTTCGTCAGATCGTCTCGATTATCCTCGCGTGGCGGGTCCCCCGAGTGGGGGAGGTTGTCGGCACTGGCGAGCATCTGTGACGGAGAACAAAACGCTGGAGGGAAAAGGAACTTGCTACCGAGAACGACGAGGAGAAAACGATTTGCGAACGGAGAGCGCGTATACACGTATCGCGGCACGTGCGACGAGGAGGGAGAAACCTTACGCCGATTCCTCTCGAGGTCGAACAGGAACGAAACAGAAAAAGACAGACCGGTCGGCCGGCCGTTCTGGCGCGTACGCAGTGAACGGCAACGTGCGTCGGCCAGAAACACGAGAAAAAATTATCGTGCCGACGTTCATTGTGGCCCATATCGAATCTGCGATAAGAACCGATAAAGACGCGAACGAACAGCGGACGAGCGTTTCTTTATACAACCGGGTCGTGATGAATTTAAACTGTTAGGGGAGGATGGAGCAATTGTCGCAACCGGAGAATTAAAATCAAACTCCTCGTTGTGTTTTCGTTTCAGTCGCGAGAAGCTGTTGCTCGATTTTCTATGTTCGACGAACGCATATCTATTTTTACGTTACAGCTTGAAAACTGTTACAATTTATGTAAGCTTAAATTCTTGAAATAGTTACGAAGAACCTAATTTTCGGACTATATCTCTGATACAGATTCTATAATAGTTACTTTTTTTAGGTTTTGTATCTGTTATGTATACGTAACATCCGCTCTCAAAATGTTACAGTAAGATTAAAGCGATGCATGGGAACGTATTGTGACGTATTCGTACTCGGTTTATTCAAAATAGTTTTATCGATACTCGATATCGCGTGGTCGTTAGGACGCTGTATCGAAAATTACCAAGAGTCAACTTCCCGACGCGTCGCTCGTGTCTAAAAATAATTACAGGCCTCTCGGTTTACGCGGAGTTAAATGTCGCGTTATTGCGATTACGAGACAATGAATCGATCTCTCGACCTGCGTGAAACAATCGAAAATAACTAACGACCGAAGGAATAACAAAATTTATACATAAACACGCATAAGAAATAACATAAATGAATAGAATCGAACATAGTCCACGCATACACGACAAAAATTTACAATGTAATTAAGAACTTTGATCAACCGATCCCTATCAACGACCCGAATATAAAGGAAAAGTAATGCCTCGTCTCAGGGCAAACCATTACCCACGAATATACATATTTTCTCATTTGTTTTTTCATCACAGTAAACACCTATCAGATTCTCTTGTACAAAATCTAAACGCTAAACGCAAAATACTCCAGTCTTTAATGACCTGGATGTCGATGCGACGTTAAACTTCCACTGGAAAAATAAAAAATGAAAACAGTTGCAGATGTAAACGGAGAAAACAATGCGAAAGAGAGACGAGTAGACGGTTTCGACGTCGGAGAGCGAAAGAAACGTAATCGAATAACGTGAACGGGATGGAGGAATTGGCAAGAGGAGAGAGGAAGACACCGATAGGGAGAATAGTGGGGCGAAAGAGAGAGTGGAAGGGAGAGAGTGCCACGCGACGCGTTGAACGGAGAAAGAGAGACAGGAGACCTGCTGTGGTGGGGGTGGGGGAAGAGGGAAGAAAATCGAGTGGCTTGGCGAGCGGCGGGACGGTATCCTAAGGGGCGGGGGCGGCGAGGGGGGCGAGGACAAATGACGAGGCGCGCGAGCCATCAGGGCCGTATGCTAGAGAGCACGCGACACGCGTTCCAAGAACCGACACCTGCGCGCGACCTTAACCCTTAACTGTTACATGGTTAATAAAATTTACGAAACTGGTGTAGGGTAATATAATCAAACGCCCTGTATTCCACGCATCCGCTCATGCGTTAATAACCCACCCCTACGGTGAGTAAAAAAAATATTGGCGTATTGCACAAAATTTTTCTAATTTCTTCCATTGTATTTCTTATATGCTCGAGGTATACACCACTATTCCCTGCTTGTATCGCTTATGTGTATAGTTTTTTTTATTATAGATAACACTTTAACTCCGTGACATTGTTGCAGGCACATACTTACGAACACTATTAAAGCACATGTTTGCAGCATTTGTTTCAATTGTTTGGCCTTGCAATCGGTTCTCGCTAGCTTGTTCGCGTGTTGATCATAAATTTGGGTAAAAAATATGACGCTAAGTACAGCTTCTTAAAAACCAAGGAAAATGTATCGAAATATTTTTTGCAACAATGAAGGATATTAGTATTCAAATGTGAATTTCTGTAGATATACTGAATTTTTCTATTAGCGCACGTATGTTTGAATTTGTTTAATGAATTGCAATAAGTATTTTAGGCGTTCCAAGCTGTGAAGCATCCGCTGTCCAAGCAAAGATGTTTTTACCATCGACACGATTGGCGCCGCTCCAAAGATAGGAAACAGATGAAAGAATTAAATCATTACACTGTATTAGTGTGATTGTCCCCTCCCTCGCACGAAAAATAAAAAAATCATGATTTAAGAAAATGACCGAATATTAAGAAAAGATTTTGATACACCACTTTTTTCGATTACGTTCCTTTTGTATCCATTAGCCTTTTATAATAAAAATTATTATTGTTTAAACCGAACGTATTGCAACGTAATGACACTTTTTTCGATAACTGTATATTCTGGTTCGTTCTGACCAATCTCCGGCGCTAGCGACGGATAAAGAACGTTCGACCGTCTCGGTCGCAGAAAGGTCGAAACGAAAGGCAAAAAGAATCGGTCGCGATAAATTCAGCCATCGGCAGCTGCTCGACGCTCCACAATATCACCCAGAAGACAGAATCTGTTACATCTGTCTCGTTTCTAAGGAACCACGCTAAAAAGTAGCGGGTTAAAACCGGGAGACGCATAACTTTGCGTTTACTGGCCGGTTACCAGTAACCCGGGCTAGCCATAACCCGGAGAATACGGGAACGACGATGGAGTCTTCTCCGCAAAGGACGGAGGACGAGAACTGCGCCGGCGAGAACGAGACGCTAGATCAAGCTTGGGAACGAAGTGGGAGAGGAAACGGTCAGAGGGAGAC